GTACAGGAAATGCACGAGCCCATCACAATATCACGAGAACTCCACAGAAGCGAGTGAAGTAATATAACTCATGACCAATGACAGGGAACAATCAACATGAGATTGAGGCCAGGCCACACGAGGTTCTGAAGATAATCTGGTGCAGTCTCGCGTTGGGGTGCTCTGTCTCTTCGCTTAAGCAGTAGGCGCTTTCTTGTATCCAATCTGTTCACTCTCCTCTTTCTGCCTTCAGTCTTCTTTCAACGTGAAGTTCAAATCGGTCAGCAAGACGTGAATGTAGTACAAGAGGTAGGGAGTATTGAGAAGAAAGTTCTAGAAGCAGAAGGTCTATGATACCTCAGGCTCCACAAAGCTTGCCACTGGCTGCCATCTTAGGAGTGTCTTGTATATGATGCAGGCTATACGTGTGTGAGGAACCCTTGCTGAAAAGGTCGCGCACCATGGACTTCTAGTCCAGAGTCACTATGACTGTGCTTGGTCGCGGATTTTGTGTGTCGATGTGGACTAAGCCAGCAAACTAAAGAATTGAAGACAAACTTACAAGACTGAAGGACGGACAATGAAATGCAGCTTGGCCACCAGCACAAAGACTCCAGCAAAGGGACTGCATGAGCAACACAACCTCTCTTTTTCTAGCTCATGATGGGTTGGGGGTTGAAGCTCCATCACCTCGTGGTTTTTAGTTCTTGCCCATTTATTTATGTCGACTCCTTTTCCCTGATAGTCGTTTGAGACGTGAAAGTGCTCATCAGCGATTCAGACATGAAAACCAGGCACTAAATTTGAGAAACCTGTGTTTTTCGAAACCGTACCCGCGTCTCTGAAATCATGAGGCAATAGTACGGGACAGCAATCGACAAGAATCAGTCGAACACTAGGAAGATTTTTGCTTGTCATCATCTCGCAGGCAATCTCATCTTTGTTTGTCATTTGCCAGCATGCAGTCGGGTTTGACACCTGTAAGGTTTTTTGATAGGTTCGGCTAGCAATTCGCTCTTTATTATCAATCAAAGGAATTTTCTGCATCTCAGTGAGCCGAGAGCCGGTAAGCTTCTTGCTTAGGCATATGCACAGCAAATCACAGCACTTAGGGGATATTAGTGGCAATCAGAAATGTGCCCTTTGTTGGTTAACATATGAACGCTCTTCTCTTTGTTCGTTTGGCTCGTAGATGAGACGAAGCAATCTCAAAAAGCCAGCTTGTGACATCTTCCTTGATGTCTCGGTTTCGTGTGTTATTATCTCCGTGTGGGTAGTGGAGGAATGCATGAAGCAAACGGATGACCGATGATGAAGCAGGGCTTTTCTGTGTGCAGCACGGGGAAAGCAAAACGATTTTTGCATGCTTCAGGGCATTCTCAACAAGAGGCGGCTCAATTCGCGAGAATCTCTGTACTTTGAGGATTCTGCAGTGTATTCATGCAAGAAAATGAGACTCCGGTGACTTGAGGGCACACCTCAACCTTCATCGAGCATCAGGTCCGTTGTGGCAAAATTTGTTCTGCAGACTGACGCTGCAGGGTGGCCCACCGACGCCAGTCAGCACTGCCCGCGTTTCGACGATGGCGGGCGATGTGATCAAGATATGGAGAGACATGCCAGTATGTCATGCCGAATGACACCACATGCCCTGTTCTGATTTGAGTCGCAGCCGCTTCAGCTCAGCCCTGCCCCGTCCTGCTTGCCCTTTTGCGACGGAGACAGTTGCGAGACCTACCCTGCACGGATCTACCTAATACCAAAGCGCTGTCTAGAAATGACTTGTGCCCTCCACCACGGCCATGTGTCTTGTCTTCAGGGAGTTTGGCTGGAGCGGCCACTGCCGATCTAGTCAAGGAAGCCTGATATGAAGAGCCAGGAAAGAAATCTAGAATGCATCATCCTGATGGTATAGCATGGTATAGCTGGGCGACAGCAGTGACTTACAACTACCACTTGTGGGGCTGTATCGTTGCGGTGAAATGCAAGAAGGTCACTGCAGAGGAAAGGCATTCCAGCAAGCAGAAATCACGGGCGTTGGGAACATGCGGCGAAGGCAGGGATGGAGAAGGGCGAGCAATCCGCCACAGAGCAAATTTGGCAGAAACAGGGACGTTGGCGCCACAACTCGTGAAGCCCAAGCCGCCTTGGCCGCTGCAAAAAGTTTCGGTGCCTTAGCTCCGGATGAAAAGGGCGATCAATGGAGTTCTTTGAACCTAGCGCTGCCATCTTCTTGATCATCTTGTCTAGATGCTGCTATGAGCAGACCATCTTGCTGCGCTTCCTTGCTGGCAGGCATCTTTCGCTCCGCCTGAGGGTCTTGCGCAGGCTTGGGGTGATGAGTCTGGTTTTGTCTTTGAAAGGCAAGCCTTCAGAAGCTGCACCCTCAAACATGTATCAAAGGCAGTCTGAGGAGGCATAAGAGTCACTGCGTGTAACTGCGGATTCATGGTCAGGCACAAGGGGGCTCTTGCCCTTCTGTGTGCATAATTGCTCAACTGTGCCTGCAGGCCAAGCAGCAGGAGAGGGAGATCGACCAGCTTCGTGAAGCGCTACAGGTGGGAAGCCCAGCCTGATTCACTGATGCGGCGCAACAGAGATCGTGTGTGAGCAGGCTTCCAAGGGCAACGAGGCACGGTTACAGGAGGAACTGCAGGCCCAGCACAAGATTTCGAATTGAGGCTGCCAGGATGTGCATGGCCTGCTAGGTAGCAAGAGGAGAGATTGACCGCCTGGCAAAGGCGTTGGAGGAGGAGCTAGACAGCGGAATGCGATGAACGTTCATGTGCTGTGAACAGTAAAAGAGACTTGGAGGAGAAGTGCTTGCGAGCAGAGGCCGCGCTCAAGGTCCAGGAGAAACCAGAGGCTGCGTCTCAGCCGCAAAGTGAGCCAAGTCAGGTAGGAATCAAGCCAGGTCTCTCGAGCGCCAAAGAGCCCTCAGCGGACGGCGCGAGCGCCACGCTCCAAGTACAACCGTTGCATCAAATCCCCTGGCGTGGCTACGAATTGAATTGCCGAGCTGACCTGAAAACTTCTGGCATATGAGATGACACAAGCCTGTGTTTTTCCAACGTATCAGAGCTTGCAGTGTTAGTTTTTTGGATCGATTCGTAATGATGAAAGAGTTCGTAAGTTGCTTCTTAGCGCAACACGAGAAACTGCGCCAAGACCCGCTTCAGCGCGTGGGGCTGCGGCCTAAGCTCTGCAGCCATTAGCCAAGCTTGGAGGGGATAAGGAAAGCTTTACGCAGCCCTCGCGGCTAGATGCGGCTGTGAAGGGCGGAGTGTGTGATGTGCAGCAGGATGCGGAACGTTCTCTACAGTTGACAAAGAAGTGATTCAGTGGTCTGAGCTTGGTATGCATGGTCGTAGGGTTTCAAAAGCTCGGGAAGCTCCAAGCTTGACTACACAGGACCGCAGCCGAGCGGCAACAGAACCCGATGACCGGCAAGGCCTCAGTGAACTCCTTGCAGAGGTCTTTCAGGATAGCTATGTGGAAGAGCGGCTTGTAAAATCACTGATTCCACGGCGGCCAAGCTGCCTTTCATCCTGCAGGTGGCACTGTCAGTGGCGACGTGGCACCGTTTGCCAGGACAGCTTGCATAAACGGCAGGAAGTGTCAGTTGCTTGTGCAATGTTGATGGAAGATGTGATTGGCTAGGCCTTTGGGAGAGCGGCCGCGCGTGATGCGCAGAGGTGCCAGAGATTGACACTCTCGAGGCCAAGGAAATCTGTTACTCGTACTTGAGGTTCTTCTCCTGGTGCTTTGCGGAGAATAACAAGAGATGAGGTGGGCGCACATGCAGCGGGGCAGTAGGTGGGAGTGACAAGGAAATGACATGACCATTGGCCGGCAGCTGCTAATGAGGAGCCTTCTCGCTGGCTCAAGCTCAAACACGGGCGTGGGGCGGGTGCATGTCTGATTTACTAGCCGCACGAGGTGGATTCAAAATTGACGGAGTATCTCGCATCATCTCCGCACTGCAAGCTCGAGTTCTGCAGGCAAGCACAAGCGCAGCTTGCCGTGATGTCCAGTCTCTACCCTGTGATTCTTGTTCGTCTTGTGAGGCTGAACCAGGGCTGGCCACTCTGCCACGATTGTCTTGTTCTGCATGGACTAGATTCTCTCTCAGCAGAGGACGTGTGCACTCCCGCTGGCAGGTACCAGTTCCGACATGTCGACTATGCTGTGGAAACAAAGTGCCTGGAGGTGTCAGAACATGGCAACGTAAAGGTTTCTTGCTCATACGCTGTGTCGACATGCGCATCCGTTGCTCAGATGTCCATCGTCAATGGGAAGCTGATGGTAAAGCTTGAGCCCACCTCGCATGATCGTGGGTGGCACGGCGCTCAGTCTTTTTCATGCTCAGGGAGAGTGGAGCTTCACAACATTTCACAACCCAAGAATTGGTCTTGTGTCCATGTCTTTGGGCCTGTCACTATGGATGCCTTGCTGCTGGGCACTTCTTGCCGCAGCTCGCATGACAGGGGTCTCACATGCAGCAAGAGCACAAGCAGCATCATCAACTGAAGCTCCCTGACTCAAGGCCCCGCCTGGTGGCTTACCCATACTATGACATGACATCGGAGAACCCGTCTTCTAAGTAAGCATTTTGGCAAATGGAACTGTACACTCTCATTAATCAGGCGTGAGAGTGAGCACTTGGAGATCTGTTCGGAATGACGCCATGGTCGCATTAACATTTGATGATGACGAGGAGTATGGGTTGGCGGCTCTGATACGGATTTGCTGCAAATCAGTCAGAGACAGAGAGCCATCTAAAAGAGAAGTGCCCGACAGTTTGAATGTCTTAGCTGCTGTTGGCGTTCTTTGCCGAGGCCAGCGTTCCAGACGCTTAATGCCATTTCTTCCGTGCTTTCAATTGCGGGATCTCTGCTGGCCCGGTGCCAAGCGTGCCAAGCACACAAGCATGTGCGTGTGCTTGCCGGGCTGTTCTGCGCCCGCTTACTGGGAGCATTGAAGCATTCTGGCATATTCCGGCTTAGGTTATCGGCGTTTTCATGGGATTCCCTCAGTTGAGGCCTCACTCACCGCCGCGCATGTCGGCTGTGACAAGTCTGTGTGGCAACACGACAGGATCAACTTGCTGCTTTGTGATTTTGTGCCGGGGATCCTGATGATGTTGGTCTAATATCATTACAGGTGTCCCTGACTGCACGTAGCACTTTTTCAGCAATCAAACACTGCAGAAGCGTTGATGACATCGATGAGAATGAACAGGCGCTATTTTGCGCGCCTGGTGCTCTATCTGGCGATTAGCGACCTATGGCTTTGCACCTCCTTCCTGATGGGCCGGGGGCACAGTGCTGAGCTTCTGCATGGAAATGGACTGGTTATTCTTCATGGGGCACTAGCCTGCAAGGATAGCTGTGAGGGTGGCATCACGGCAATCCAGGAAATTTAGCGTGCTGTTGTATGAAACTGATTGTTCTTATTCTCATGCACATTCTGAGAAGATTTCTTGGGGCCGTATGAAAGCTTCCAGAATCACGTGGAGCAGTATGTGCGTTTCCCGGATGCATTTCCTCATCTTCATAGAGCTGCTGCCCAACAGAGATGAGCAGTCACCAGGCGAGTTTCGCCGACCGCATTACACAAAGTGCACCATCCAATCTTTGCTTGGTTTCGCCCTTACTTGAAACGCTCTGTGGTCCATGGCGTGGGTTCTTGTGTTGCCTGTGAACCAACAACATGCTCTGTTTGCTGCGCCTCTCAGGTGTGTTTTTTGGTCTGTCGTCCATCCTCTGGACCGTTGCTATTGCAGATTCAGTTCGGCGTAGGGGCCTTGTGGCAGATTGAGTTGCAAAGCGCCTTTGCTTCTTTTGCAACAGAATTAGAGCAGGTCATTGTTCTTCACAGTTTTCCTTTTGAAATGGGCCGGGTCAGGTAAATGATCCTGGCCATCTTGTAGACATCTGCAGTTCGTGCTCGCAGTAATTCGCACAGAAAGGCCTTTCCACATTGTTCTAGATTAGCACTGATGCAGCATCCTCACCTTCCAAACGTTTCAATAATTTTTGAACTTGATGACCCCAAACCAAAGCTAACTACCTTATCTTGGTCCCATCTTTCAGGGATTGTCATGGCCCGCGACTTGACCGTGGAGAGCCGGCCCAAGTCCCAGCATCTTCGTTGGCGTAAGACTGGCTTCAGCTTTGTTACGGCATGAGTAGTTAGGATCGGGAGTCGCTGAGCCAAACTTGAAGATTCGCCGAGGCACGAGAAAAGGCTTCACATCGTGGGCTGGGGCTGGGCCCTCAGGAGTTAAACATGTTGTTGAAAAACATGCAAACCGTTTCCCTTTCCCACAGGGCTTCCCTTGGCTTCCTTGCTGGCCGTCCTCGGCTCGGGCTCAGCGGCGCCCAGCGGTGAGTGGCCGAGCAAAACAAAAGCCTCGCGACTTCTTTCCAGAGGAGGTCAAAGCTTTTCTGGGCTGAGGCATGGTCTGCTGGTCCCAGCCTCAGACTTCATGTATTTCATATCTCTTCGCAGAGGAAAACAAGAGTCGTCTCAGGATAGAGAACACGACTTTGGGTACTGTCCTTCGTGCCTCCGGCATGTTCCCGGGCTATCGAATGTGGGAAGTTAAAAAAAGGCATCTCGCATCCAGGCTTCGCAACGTTTTACCTGCCCCTTTGGCTGGCTATCGCATATTCTCTTTGGGCTCTCAGCTCAGCAAGTATGCCCCATGCGTCCATGCCTTCATTTTCCACTGCAAAGCGGCAATGACCAAGGTCTACTGGTGCGTATCTCAACGCCTCACAAAACTTTTGGAGCAGGTGGCTGTAAGTGCCTAGGCTTTCAATGGCTCAGCCCAATTCGGGTCAGGGGTCCTGACTCCTTGAGAGAGATGTGTCAGGCATGCCACGCAGAATCTCACCCATCAGCTCAGGCAATGCGGACGATTACGAGGGGAATGCGTTTGACTACAATAAGGACGCCAGTGGTGAAGTTGCAGCCAGATGGCGTTCACTCCCAAGGGCTGCATCCACGTGCAAGGACATAGATCGACAGAGGAGGTCTCTGCGACTGATGCTGCCTGGCTTGCAAACTTCCGGACAACCGCATTCTTTGTCTGCTGGGAGCATGAAGGTAGTACTTGTGGCATGAATGTTTCTGCCTGCAGGTAAGCAACAGCTATCAACAAAAACCCTTAACGCCAAAATCACGATGTTGTCTTATGTCGTCTTCAAGATTGGCAGACTGGTTGTCGTTCTTGGCCCTGGCAAGTTGAGGATGTACCTCCCGCTGATTCTGGTCTTTTGCTGGTCTCCCAGTTCGATTCGGCGGCTGCTGGACATTCTCTTTCCGCACATGGGCCGCTCCGTGCTGGATTACGTGTGCCTCGGTATAAAGAACGACTTCTTGCACTGCTTACACTTGCGCGGACTGGCGTCTGTTGCGCTTCCGTGCTGAGATGCTGAGGTGTGTCTTTGCTGGCCCACTGCAAGGCTTCCTGAATGCCTTGGTGCCATGGCCGCAGCAATGGAAAGTGGCATCTGTCATGTTATTGAACGATTACGAGAATCAGTCTTATCTGATGTAGTGGCTGACAAGCAGCAACTGGCTTTGAGCGTCAGGGACTGGCATATCGTCGCATATCAGTTTGCTTGCCCAGCACCTGAGGTGTACGGTGCCACGCCTGCAGTCAGAGATGCAATGACAGGCCAAGTGTCAGAACAATCTTGAGTGCTGCAGCATTGTCATGTGCCGCTCCACAAGCCGGGAACACAAGCAGCTTCGGTCTACCAAAGGCCACGTGGACAACCATGCAGAGAAAAGTGCATGTACATGTAGCCCTTCCTTACTTACTTACTTTCTTACTTGCAGCTCCAAGACATTGGCGCGTCGGGGTATGCTCCAGGAAGCACAGCGCTTCTTTCGGAGCTCCAGCTTGGGGTTTGGGTTTTAAGCTTAGCGCTTGGAACTGGTCTCCTAGGATCGGATGTATAGAGTTGACAGCTTTCAGGGTTCACCATTTGACTTTCGCGGACCCCAATGGCTCGAGAGAGCCTTCAGGTCTGTCCTCTGATATCCGCAATGATACAGTATCAAGTTACATGAACGTGCAAACCTGAGAGGTCGCCTGGACAACAGTGCTGCCAAGCTCAAGAACATCAAGGTCGTGTCATGGTCTTGTTTGCCTTGCGGGAAAGTACATGACAAAACTTGCCCATGATCTGAAAAAGGCGAAGCTGCGTTCGCTCCGGCCAAGCAGACGGCGGGACTTCCGGCATTTGTCCGAGGCCCCGCCGAATCTTCAGATTTCAGTGAGGAGTGTAGGCTGCTGCGGTCAAGGCGAGCCCTGGCGAGAGCAATGGGCAGGAGTTAAGACCTGGGCCGACCCAGCTCCTTGGAAAGAAGCTGCTCTTGTGCTTTTCGCGTCTGTCAAAGCATGATGAGTCTGTGGAAGGGAGATTCCAGGTTTGGACGCTCTCACGATGCCATCAGCCTGGAGGACATCTCTGTGAAGCCCACGGAGTTGGAAAAGGCACTGGCGCTCTGCGTTCTGAGTCTGTTTACTGCTGCTTTGATGCTGCTTGCAACATTTCTCATGCCTTTGCTGCTGCCTTTGCTAGCCATGTGAGCTCCTGCCAATGCAAGGATCATGTATCATATGAGCTACTGTCAACATTAGCCTCATCAAGTGACCCTGAACAGGGGACAGAGGGGTCCCTCTAGTAGTTTGGTACAGTCCCTATCATATTCCATAGTAAGGAACCCATGTCCATTAGATAAGGTAGGAAATATAGACTGTAGCTCATACCATATCACATCCCTACATCAAGACATGGAACTCAGAGCAATGTACAGGAGGTCAGTCATGGACAGCTTGACGACTGTTTGATAGGGCTTCTCAGGACTTTCGATTGATTGCTGCCAGGCCGCTGAACTTCCAGCTCCGGCGGTAGCTGGCTGATGACTGCACTTGCCGTCTCAACGGAGCCGGGTGTGGAATTTCTGTGTACATACGCGACGCGCAACGCATCAACTTTGATGGCTGTCAGAGCTCCTTTGTGAACTCTGTAGCTGCCGGAGACCGCTGCCAAGTCTAAATGTCACAATGTCACATCAACTGCTTGCATCTGCTATGCGCAGCAGTCTCACCCTGTACGGGTCTCCGATTTGCATAGTCAGCAGTTTGGCAACCAAACAGGCAGGAGAAACATGGCAGGTACTAGCAATCATCAGCTTGTCAACCGCATGCAAAGCCAGGGTTTTTGTTGCGATAGCTGGCGCCCAGGAACAACGGAAAAGTCGGACCTATTGACCGCTTTGTGCGCGAGCTCTCGCGTGCTCCAGACACGGCTCGTTAGGGCCGGCATGTGGGAAGGAGGCTGCCAGGGCTGTAAAGCCTGTCTAGGTGTTTTTGCGCAAGCATGAAGCAACGGGCCAAGAGATGCCTGGCATCACGGTCTTGGTCTTCATGATGTCTATGACCTAAGCTAGCTGTCTTGCATGCGTGGTTGAGTGTTTGTAAGCTTCATCTGCTGGGGGCTCGGGCGTTCAACTTGTTGAAAGCATTGGCTCAGCAAGCGAGAGTCGTTGCGCTGGCAGGTGACCTCAAGAAATCTGTCATTCCAAAGAATGTGGTAATTCGGGCAGCCATGCCGCTGCATATTGATGCTAAAGTTCATGCCCTGGTTGCTCATTTGTTTGTGCACTTGTTGGCGGCATGCGCAGCTTGCGTGGTCATGCGTGGTCCTCAAACCCACGATTAGACCTCTAGCTCTAGCTAATAGTCTGCTGGACAGATCTCCAGCACTATAGATTGCTGATCTCAATGCAGGGTCAGTCAACATCGTTTCAGCGGATCTGACACAGCACGATGATCGTCAAAAGCTGCAGACTGGGGCCACGCTCGTTTGGCACGTAACAAGGTGGGTGGCGTATGCGCATGCTGTCTCCGAGTCCACCTGATGCTGCGGCGTTTCCGGTTCAGGCGTTTCCGGTTCATGATACACGGAGGAGGGTCTTAATTTGATGTAGCACAACTGTCAAACAAGGCTGACGGGCTTTGAGCTCGTTCGGAAAGGCTAAGACTAGGCTTGCAGGAAGCAGCCCACATCCAGTTACTCAGCAACACAGCTTGCTAATTGCTGAGTTAGAAGCCGTGCAGCATGGTGATGCCACCTCTGCAGGAAGTTCAAGCCCCAGAGGAGGCAGGAGGGATGAAGCGCAATGAAGCCGAAGCGAAGCAAAGGCAAACGTGATTAAACGCAAACCGCAGGATGATTCGCAGGGCTCCCCGGGCTCGCCGAAGAACCTGAAGCCAATGGCGCCGTGGCAGTGAGCCTCGGCGTGATCGGCGCGATGATCGGGTGAATTATTGTGTGAAGCCTCCTTTGAAGATCTTTGAAGAATCTGTCGAAGCCCAGGTGAAGATTCGACGACTTCTCCTGAGGATGCGGCGCCAAAGTACTTGCGACGCTTGGTGATGTATATCGTATGCTTCTTGTGTAAGGCTCTTGCGTAATGCCAGAAGAGCCTGCGAGAGCCAAGATTCTTGTTTGAGCAAGCATTAGGCCCGCCATCCGAAGAGGACGGGAGCATGTGTTTTCATTGCTTTGTAAATGAACGGTGATCCAGGCTGCTGCTGTCCAGCAGTTGATTTGTGTTACGGGGTTTCAGGAACCTTGCTGAGACTTGATGCAATGCTTACTCATTTAGGGCTGCGATCACCGGCAGGGCACGCGTGACGCTGCTGCCCTTCGACAGCGACTGCTTGAGGACTGCCACTGTATATATCCAAGAGGGCTGTGCATATCAGATATGTTCAAGATAGATTGAGCACCAGCTCAATTCTCCGCATGCGGCAGACAGCTTTTGATTTTCAGCCGAAGCATCGACATTTGTGTGGCATTGCTACGTGCTTCACTTGATGCTTCAGGCGCAGGGTGAGATTGCGGGGCTTCGTTTGGCTTTGGCCGCCAAGGACCAGTGCATCCTGAACCGAGAACTATCTGATGAACTGCAGAGTCAGGATCGCATGCGTCCTCGAGGTGTTCCGGCTGAGGAGACGGATTAGTGGCTTTAGGCCGTGCATAACCTCTCTCGGATCCAGCATCTTTGCATGGGCCACTTAATGACCAGCGGCTCTTGTACCTAGACGGCAGCAAGTCCACGTTGCGGCTATGCTCAAGCCTGCTGAAGCACAGTTGTGAAGATGCAAACGTTTGAAGCAGTCATAGGAGATAACTGCCTTCCACTTAGATGGATGACGCTGCTGCACATCGTGCGGCATCATAAGGGTGCTGGGTTTGCCCATGGAGATTCTGTTGGCTTGATGGGCAGGACAGCCTTCTCAATGAGCTGCGGGAGCTTACGTTGGAGCTGCGCTCCGCCGTTGCCTCTGCAAGGTGCCAATCTGCATCTGGCTCCTCCTATGAAACAGAATGCCTACGCGTGCTGGTGGAGTGAAAGCTGCAGCTGAGCATGAGCTAAAGAAGTGGCCAGCTTGGGCAGGACGCCAAAAGCTGACGCTCGCAAAGAGCTGCGAGCGCTGGAGCTGCAGTTGCAGGCCACACCTTTCCTAAAGCAGCTTTCAGGTGGGTTGCATCCCAGCTTCTTACTGTACTGTTCCCAAGAAGGAGCATCGAGCTTGCCTCAAGGCTTCCTGCTCGCAGTGGCCCCAGTGACCCATGGCTGTAGCTTCTGAAGCGCTGCCGCAGAACTGCCCTCCCATCGTTGAGGCCATCAAGCCGTTCCAGCCCAAGGAAGGCCTACCAATTTTGTTTTTTTTTTAAGACATCTCACCTCTGCGGGCACGCTTCGCGTGCGTCATGCTCCGGAAGTTTCATGGCTTTTTGACGTCTTCTCAGGCGGTCAAGGTTGCCGAGCGACAAAGGCTTTTGGCGGAAGTGGTGTCGACACTGCAAGCAGAGGGCAGTGTGCCAAAGTCTGCCAAACTGCCAATGCATGATTTGTCAGTAGCTGCGCACTCGGCAAAGGAGAAGAAGCTTCATGATCTCCGCGGCCAACTTGGTCCAGGCCGGGTCCGGCCGCTGTTGTCTCTTCGTCCTCACTGGAAGCTACGGAGGACGGGGAGCTTTGACTCCACAGCCCCCTCCGAGCCAACGGGTATCGCAAGATTTCAAGAACGTGGTGAAGGAAACTGTCCAGCAGCTGTCCTCAATGGCGTCCGACAGGTTGGCGCAAAGGCAGGGTCGGCAAGTTGCCGGAGTTGGATTTGGATTGCAATACCTCTTGCAATGGCGTTTTTTGCGTTGCAGCAGCCAGTTTGCATAACTTTTTGCCTAAAGCCTGCTGACGGAGTCAAGTGGGCCTCTTTTTGGAATAATTGTCGGTTGATGTTGTACAACGTCGGAGGGTTTTTGAAGTTGCCATTTCAACGTCCTGACGCGGATCCGGACAGCATAGCAGTGCGTTTTGACCTACGCACGCAGTCGGGAGGGCTTTCTCATTGGCGGGGGTCCAAGCTGCTCCGCAGCTTCAAAAACAGATCCGGATATGACTTCGGTCCGTGTCCTGAGAATGCACCGCGGCCAGGAGCTGGAGCAGTTCCTTGACGGTTAAGCCTGAAGCATGAGGTGGATGCAGGTTTGCTTAAGACTTAGTTGTATGGTTCGTTGGTGTAGGGCCCACTAAGGTTCTGAATACATCCACGTCTTCATCTTCGCTTTTTCGCATTTCTTTGTCCCACCCGCCCGCCCTTGATCTCTTAACTGAGTGATTGGGAGAGTGGGTCCTCGTGTGGACCTCTTAGGATTGAACGTGTTCACTTCAATCTTCGGGAGTTCTGGACCCCATTCCCGGGTGGATGTGACTGTGCTCCATCACTCACCTTAAACATGTGTCCTTCAGTAGGCGCATATTTGACACTCATCGTCTTGGACGTTTGGAGTTATGGAAGCACTTGATGTATTCTCTCTTAACTCTTAATCTGGCAGTGCTTTGTGTGTGCTAGCGATGAATTGGCTTCTTCTCCTTGAAAGCGGATGCGTACGAAGCAGCCCCGATATTATTTACGATTTGTTGAAAGTCCGGCAGAGGGAGGATTGCCACAAACTGTTGTTTCAAGTGCCCCCTCAAGTTTCTATTGTGCAATTCTAGAATTTCAGACATCGTCCACCTGTCTGTCAAGGTTACCATAGCTACCCTCAGTCAAACATGGTGGCAAAACGTTGTCTTTCTCAGCATCGATTCTGATTTTCGAATTTGGTGTTTGGTTGGCAGTGTCCGTACATATGACAAGCATAGCAGCCTTCGCAATGATTATGTGCCCCGCGATATAGCCATGTCCATGTTGTTCTTCATCCCATCACGTTGGCACTGCTGTTGTTGCCATCATTCCCAGTAATAGCTTCTGTGACGTTGGCTTCATATCATATTATCTCCCTAATTTCTTTTCTATTGCTGTCATTCTTCGTGCCATGTTCCTCAATCCAGCCAGCTAGAATGGCTTTTGTATAGCCAGCCTTGTAAGGGATCTGTTGGGCATGTGAAGCCTCCCAACCCCTGCCCCCTAATCTTTTGGATGCGCCTGAGCTCTTACATCTCAGTCAAATGATTTTGCGAATGGGGTGCAATGTCTCTGGTCTAGGAAAGGTGTAGATGCTGTATGTAAGAATCGCATCTACTCGCCTCTGTCAGGAGACTTTTTTGGGCAGGTTTGGAAAGGTTGGGACGCGGACTGCGTGCTAGCTGCAAAAACATGATGTTGTCCATCGCACTGAGACCCAGCATTGGTGCTGTCAACCTATCATCCGCGTGATGGCCACCCGGGTTATCAGTATTGGGACTGTCCAGCCAGCAGATGTCATCTGAATCAATGATACTACCCACAAGTTGAAGGATTCCTCGTGGTCTTGTGCCTTGTTTTCTCAGCATCCGCTTTGTCTCAGATGTTGCGATGTCTAGTGCTCACAAGTCTTGATGATGTGTGACTGCTGCAATTTT